GAGAGAGAGAGAGAGAGAGAGAGAGAGAGAGAGAGAGAGAGAGAGAGAGAGAGAGGTGATGTTGTGTTTTGGCGATAGGAAATTGAGGCCAACGCTGGAAATGGAGAGTTTTTAGAGTAGGATTTATCGTGACTTTTAATTTAAATATGAAATTTAATGAAAAATTTTGGTTTTGAGGATCAAAATAAAAGATTAACTCCGTTTCAGAGACCCATACAAACAGTTTTTCCCTAAATAACGGAAAAACTGTTTATTGTTATTATTTTAAATTTTTGTTTGTTTTAGATTTTTATTTTGTTTTGTTTAAAGTTGTAATCTTTTTAATTAATTATTCAATTAATTTAAATATATAGAGAAAAACGTTTGCTTAAAAAACCAAAGAATTTGAAAACTTTTCATTTTATTTTTCATTTTCGTTATATAAATACAAAATTAGTGTCAAAAATGTTTTCTTACTCTTCGTGACTAAAAATATCTGAAATTCATTCAAATATTTTCTAAAATATCCATTAAATAAAAATAGTTGAAAATTTATATATTAATAGTTAACAAAAAAAAATATGTAAATTAAATACTTTGTTTTCATGAAAATGGGATACAAATAATGATCACTTTTAGAGATGCAGGTGTTGTGCGATTAATAGTAATGTATGTTTCAGTCAATGAGGTATATATCACTAGATCTTATACTTCGGGCGGAGGCTATACTGGAGGCGTAATGTCTGGTTCGGCACAACTCGAGGTCTCGCTTGCGTTTGTCTTCGCGGGAGAGGTAGAGACCGATAGAACTGACGCCCAGAAAGAAGAGGAGACCGCCGGTCAACAGGAAGACAATTCCGGTGATCCAAATGGCTTCGGGATGTGCTGGCGATGAACCGAATACCTATTGTATGATAATTTGTATTGTATTTTATAATTTCGCACAAAATTGCTTTGACTTTAATATTTATTACGTTCGCAGAGATCGGAGTTAGAGATAGGACTACGAGTTTGTGTGTGTTTTTGGTTTATATATAACATAAGTAATACAAACAATTGAAAAAATATAATTACCATTAAAATGATTCCGATGAAGAAGACGAACCCAGATATACAACAACACAATACCCCTAAAGTGAAGTATCTTTTGGGTGTCTTTTGCTCCATATTGTGGCCATAGTATGGATGAAATGCCGTTAATGTACTCATTATATATACGGCACTTGTGTTGCATTTAATGTCAAATGTTATTCAATGTTGAGATCCGTATCACTATATTAACCATTATTTTCCGAGTTTATGTCTGAAATCAGATTATATTATCGGAAATGTGAGAAATTCTTCAACATTTATGGGTTATTATGGGAACTGGTCTTAAAAATTAATTCAATTTTATATATTTTATATAACAATATATTTAACGCTAAAATTTTTATCAATTTATTTCAATCAATAAGTTTTTGGCAATTAATCACATAAACTGATTGTTATTTAAAATACAAGTTTTTAAGAATTTGTTGATTAATAAATGTTAAAGTTTTGAATTAATTGTTTACAGGATTATCGTAAACAATAAACAATAATTTATCAAAACATTAAAATATCACTCATAAAAGTTTTAATCTCATTTGATTTGTGTAATAATTTATTGCTAATAAATTTATTTACAATACAATAACAAATAGGGATTTAAAAGCATTTAAAACTAGAATTTCATTGTTTGCAAAAAATGAAAATATGTAATTAAATGAAAGACTCACGTCAAAAATATAAAAATTAAATTTAAAGCAATAAATTAATAATTAATTGCCAATCAATTGAAACAGTAATAATAGTGAAGACCGAGAGTACAGTTAAAACCCAAGGGAACCGTTAGGTTATGGGATGGCAGACACCTGTCGTGTATCCGACAGTATTTCGCACACATTAATGAGCGTTTTGAGCGAAAAACCGAAGTTTAAGTAAGGATTTTGACACAAATTAATGGCAATAAAAAACCACTTCACGAGAGGGTCTGCCGAGAGTTCAAGACATTATGTTTTTTTTCATTATATATTGTATTGAATCCAAAACAACAATACAATCGCATCGTTGTGTCGGAAGTGTCCAAAAGAGTCGACTGAAGAAAAAGCAAAAAGTTCGGAAAGAAATATGCTCACTAGAAGTTTTGTCCGTAAAGACACCCAAATCACTTCATTACGTTGGCAATACACTGGGCTCTGACTCTACTTGATTATTACTTGATTAAAGACGAAGTTAAGACACACGATATGATGTACACTATGTGTGCGATCATAATATAACTGTACACTATATCATTATAATAGCTCATAAACATTCTCAAATATGCCCATGCACATTTTTCTCTTTCTAAATCAAATCAATATATTGGTAATTATGGTTTAAACGAAATTCTGATTGCATATAATTGCTGTTATATTTTAATTACATGTATTATATTATATAATTTATATATTATATTTGCCGTTTAATTGATATTTATGTGTTATTTGGGAATAACTGTCAAAAACATGTAATGAAGGCCTAATAGGAATTCAAAAACTAAAAGTTTTGAAAATATTTTATCAATCGTTTTACGTAACGTATAATTTATTTTAATAAATATAAGTTTGGGGTAAATATTACACACTATTTAATAAAATTGGTTTAAAAATTATAAAATTATGAATGAATATTTAAAAATTGCAAACTTACCGTCAAAAGCACATAAATTTCAATACAAATTTCCGACAAACAGTTATGTGAGACGAATGAGTGAAACATTTAATGAGAAACATTTGCCACACATTTTAATGTCAGAAAAAGCGTTACTTTCGCACATAAAATGCTATCAAAAATCAGCACCAAATTTGTCGCCAGAATTAGTCGTTAAAAATGAGAATATATTTAGAAATTGTGTAAAAAAACGAGTCGTCAATGGGTTTGGGATATAAAGGGGATGTCAGACAACACTGTAAATGGTTTGAGAGCTGTTGTGTTCAATGATTAAAGCCATTGTGTGTGAGAGAGAGAGAGGGGATAAGACACACCTGACTATCGGATAGACAATTGTTGTCCAATTATGCCTCCACTCACTTGTAATACAGTATACGTTAAGTCTTCACAAGTTTTACAACTTTTTTTTCTCTCTCTTTCGCGAAACTCATTTCAAGTCTCCGTTTTTTACCTGAAT